TTTTTTTAAACATTACATCATTAGTGATTTTCTTTTTAAAGAAAGTGAAAGAAGCAAGCATTTCTCTATAAATTAATTTAATTACTAACGATTTTGAAATTAGAAGTAAGATACCTTGAGAGTTTAGTTTTTAAAATCGATTATATTTAAATTTCAAGATTTATTTGTATTTAAAAAAAAACTTTAGTTAAATAAAAATTAGGAGAGGCAGACATGACTTATGGACATTAGTCATGTTGAATATTTGTTTTATTTAAATTAATTTTCAAAAAAATAAGGCTCGCTATAGTGTTTTGCTTCAATAAAACTTAATTGAAAATTATTTACTTTTTTATGTTAGTTACAAACCAAAAAACAATGAAGTTTATTAAAGATTGAATAAAATTTTTTTCTATATACAGTGTAACCCGGATATAACAGAAACCCGGATATAAGAGAAACCCGGATATAAGAGAGATTTTCTCTGGTCCCAAATTAGAGCCTGTGTTAAGACCAAACCCGGATATAAGAGAAACCCGGATATAAGAGACTTCTCCGGTCACGACAACTCTCTTATATCCGGGTTACACTGTAATAAACAAAAAATATTAATGTCAGTAATACACACAAAAACGCACACATATACAGCTGTCCTTTGGATATAAATCGTTAAATAATAATATCCCTGCAACATAAACATAAAAACAAAATGCGTGTATTTAAGTAAATCTGTTATTAAAAATAAGTAATTAAAAATTTCCCGATTAAAAATATCGAAAAAGATGACTTATATGTCCGTGGAATATCTGATTCTAAAGCTACTGAAAATTCTCTCCAAAAAATATACGGAAATTTATTCTGTCGTGTTTGTACAATTTTTGTTTCGAATATTTAATATTCTTCTTCTTTTAAATTTACTTTGTTGTTTTATTCATTTTTTAAGTTACGCTTTTACTTATAGATATGGAAATAAATTCAAAAGAGAAATTTTAAAAATACATATAGCGTTTCGAAATTATCAACAGAAAAAGTAAAAACGAACGAAATAATTATTCCCGTTTGATTTTACTTTTTAATTCTGATAATTTCGAATGCATTTTAAGGTAATTATTACGTATTTATAATTTGAAAATATCTTCGTAAATACAAATCATACGATGATAATTTTTTTACAGAAAGGTGGGTTAGGTGATACTGAGTCTCTCCATATATTTCTTAACTTAGGAGGAAATATCAACAGTTTACTTAGTCCAGATCTCGATATATGTTCAGTTTTAGAGATGAAGAGTGCAGTTTCTGCTTAGATTTATATTCATTGCAAATGCAAATAGGTGATGGCCATAATGGAAGGAAATTACATGAAAAAAGTGACACACATTCCAAATCATTGACGAAGCATTGAGTTGTGTATTGATTATCTTATGCTCGAATTGCGACACGTCGATGTAAATAAATAAAAAGCCCAAATTCCATTACCAAAATTGACTTCTGGCGCCGGCAGTCCCTAAGCTATAAACAAATATTCGAATATAATAATTGCTATGTATAAACATGATTGAGTATGTTTGGGATTGGTAAATGCGAAATTGGTTTGGTTCTACAGCATATATACACTTTTTTTTAAAATCTAAGTTGCCGTTGCTGGTAGGTGAAGCTCATGACCAATCATTTACAAATGCATATGGACACATTTTTACATATCGATAATGTTGTTTTTCAAAGTTGTGCCAATACAAAGGGGAATAGTTAGCAAGTCGAAAGGAATACACCCATCTGGGTTAAGAATGTATACGAGATTTCTAATAATTTTCTTTAAAAATAAGATATATATGTGATTGCGTGTACTTAAATTAATTTCATTATGAATAGAGGGGTTGCAGTAATTTACAACCAGTTATAACAATTTTGGCTGGGCACCTACCATAGCACATGACAAAAGAATTTATTTAAGTTGTGAGTGTTATCCTCGTTTAGTACGCTATTCTTGTAGCTTTGTGAAGATTAATCTCAGCTTAGTCAGAAGAAGCATGTGTTTGCTCACGTCGCAGTGGATTACGATTGAAATGAGTTCGATTCTAATTGTGCGTCTCAACTCATACTTGATGACCTTGTGACAATCCAAAATCTTGGACAGCAATAAGACAATAAAATCTGACAGCAAAACATTCAAATTAATCAGTTCTTGGATAAATCAACCATCCGTCCTTGCATGGAATATTGCTGTCATATATGGTCTGGTGCTCCTGCTGTACGTCTCGAGGTCCTTGACAAAATCCAGATACGAATATGCAAGATGATAGATCCTGATCTGGCATCTCGTCTACAATCGCTATTCCACAGATGTGCTGTGGCCTCCATCTGTCTCTTGTGTATTTTCATGGCAACTGTTCCGACGTGATACTTTCGCTGATTCCGGGACTGTATGAATTTAAGCGAGCTACCAGGCTGGCATCTTGGTTCCACCCTTTCACTGTCAAAACGGTTAAATGTAACAATCTCTTCTAAAACAGCTTCTTCTCCCGCACTTCCCGTCTGTGAAACTACCTTCCCCTTACTTGCTTCCCCGATGACTATAATATTCAAGTGTAATGTCAATCGACATCTGACACCCTGAGCTTGTTCCCCGTCCTTCTCTGTATCCTTTCCTCAAACACGCCTCTTTACTCTTGTTCTCAATCCTCTGTAACCCCTTGCGTACTAGTGGCACTCCCGCCATGCTTGGGGTGGATTGCCTTAAAAAATTCCACTGATTCGTAAGATAATCGGAGAAAAAGAGACATTTTTATATCGCCAGTTGTGCAAATTATATTAAAATTCTTCAACTTTGAAATATAATCTCAGTGCAAAATGCATTTTTTAAAATTTACACTTGTTTATTAAAATTCTCTAAACTATTCATAATACATTATATAATTAAAAAAGAAAGAAATTTAAATGGGTAATTTATTTTTTTAAGTCGCGCGTTAAGTAACTAATAAAAAATTCTGGAATCGTTGTATTTAGGTGTAAATTTACATGTTTTATTTGAAAATAACAGAGAAATTTTGAGAAAATCTACCGTTTTGGAGTTATCGACAATTAAATTTTGGACTCAGTTCCGTTCATCCGTCCGCCAATACTGGCTTTGTTTAACTACATTCACTGCGGAACATTTTGCGCACGGACGCTTAATTAACGGCCTTTTTTTACTGCTACTTAGTGCGGGGCTTAAAAAGCAAGTTACCCCCTTTAACACCCACCTTCTTTTTAATCAGCGTGCACAGTATTTTTTATTTTTTTAATAATTTTATTTACCTTTTTTTTGTGTTCGTTTCTATTTATGTGCTAACTACGCCCTACCGTAGTTGTGTTTATCTTATTCTTGGCTATTAAAAAAAAAAATTAAGTTAGTTTTTATATCCGGGGCGCGAAAATGTAATAGTGCCTAGGTTTATTATACTTTATTTTGAGGGTAGTGTTTAAAAAAAAACGTCTATTAATAGAAGAAAGTTACTAACACATATTATTTCAATAAAGTACTGCTATAATGAATCTATATGCTTAAAAAATGGCTTGAATAAAATTTGATCTTGCAAAATTACCACCGAAAATGAAGCCTGGTGGTTTATGAATGATACATGTATAAAATTTGGTTTTCAAATTTGTAGAAAAAGAATATGAAGTCTTGTGGTTCCAAAAGCCACCTAAATAAAGTTTGCAAAGAGTCGTAGGGATATATTTTGTTTTTTGTTAACCAGGGAAAGTAAGTTGCGATCCCATGGTATCAAATTCTGCTTCAACTGAGAACCTATATGTGGCTATTTAAGAAGTCTGGCATGATCGACAAGGTTAAAGAGACAGGCGAAGGACGTAGATTCTAGGAGGCATAAATGAGAAGGGTCTAAGTTTTCACAGACGAAGGTCGTTGACAGTTGTTAGTGGAAGCGGAACTTACATGAAGAAGAAACTAGTAAATGGTTGAAGGGTTTCAGCATTCATAAGGACAACACCGACTACCTCCACAACGACGAAAAGGAAGGAAAAAAGTAAAAGTTGACCACGCGGCCACCGAGAATGAAAAGGAAGCCAAAGAAAAAAAAAAGAAGCCGAAAGAAATTTCTACAAATTTAGAGTGATATGATTATTTTTCTACAGTTGTTTGTTAAAGTTTGTCACAAAATTCGAGGTATTAATCCCGATTTTGAACTTTTTATGAAAATACGAGATTTATCTTATTTGGTAACACTGAACTGTTATCTAAATAAACTAGAAATTCGGCGACAACTGTGAATTTGCAATCCTTCTTAACTCCTTTCGAAGTAAATGAACATTTTGTTGATAATAATTCTAATTGTTTTTATGAGCTAATTGTAATTAAAATTTGTTATCTTGCCTAATTGTGTGGCGTACAAAGTAAAATTTTGTGCAAGCTTGTTTTGTAAATTTTGTATTCTGTACTTTTACTATTTTTCATGTCATTTAATAAATGTACATTTCTTTTAAATTTCACATCGGAGTAAGTCTTTTTTTTCTGTCATTCATAGTACTCGGGATAAGAGATTAGACGTTCGCTCTTCTTAAGCCAAAAAAAAAAATCTTTTATGTTTTTGTGAGTTTATTTGTCAAATGACTTGAGTCGACAAACTGCTTTCTGATATTTTGAATCAGCATATTCACATTATGGCTACACAAAACTATAAAAAGTTTAAGACTGATGCATATGTATAAATGTAAGTGATTCTAAATTATATTCTTGTTAACAAGTAAGAAATTTTTAAAAGGAAAATTTAGATTTAAAGAAAATCGAAAATTCTGATTGGAAGAAATTTGAAACTTTGTTCTTTTTAACCGTGAAAAAAATGAAAAGTGTTGTACTTGTTATTTTTAAGTTTAAGAAACTTTTCAACGATCTCTTCATATGAGCATTTATTATTCATTGTGAAAAGTTACTGTCATATTCAAAAAATTTAAAAGATTCTTCTGTAAAGCGACTTTGCATGATTAATTTTGGTTTCTCTTTTTCAATTTTCTTTCTTTACCAGAATCTCCTTAAGAGCCTCGTGTCCAATGCAACTCCAGAATTACCCAATGGATGATCAACTTTGTTATCTTCATTTTCAAAGTTGTAAGTTGTACCGAATGACCTCATTATTATGTGTAGATAAATTTTAACTTATCTAACCAAAGAAGTGGATCATTTAGTGAAAATGGAATTCACAATATCTACCTAAATTACTTTACAGTAGCATTGGTAATTAGTCATAGTCACAATTAATTAGGTACCGCCACTAATTTTCGATACCTTGATTTAAAATTAATTTTTATAAATGATACAGCTTTCTTGAAACTTTCATTTTAGCTTTAATTGAAAGCTAGATGATTAAATTTATTATTTCCAGTAAGCAAAATACCTTGGTGCATTTCAAACAGAAATTATATAGATTGGAATCGTTTTTTTTTTCTAAAATAGCTAATTAGCGCCTTTTTAGTCGTCTTTCTCGCAATGTAATTCTCTGTATTAAAAAAAAATCTCCCCAAAATAAAATATACTTTTCTGAAACCTTATTTGAGGAATATTAACTGATTTAAAGTATAATTAAACTGATTTAAAAAAAATTATTTACTTTAAGATAACAGAAAATAGATTTTTAAAACAGTGTCGGTGATTATGTGATTGACGTGCGATAACGCAATTGCTGATAAAAGTGTTGACAGTTTTATTATTGTTCTACAGAGACTTTAACTGTTAAAACCTAATTTAAGAAAATAACGGGTGAGCCCACTTTTTATATAATTTTTAAATACTCAGTAATCTCAAAAACGTTGGAAAATATTCCCCGCAATATGGACTTTAAATTTACTATAGTCATCGCTCTTATTTTCTGATAATGTCGTGTATGGTCGACCATACTTTCATAAATGGGCACGTTACATAATATTTTATGTCATAGTTTTATTGCATTTTTTATTTTACGATCCGGATCCGATTTTCGTGAAATGAGTAGTAATTTGAAAGAAATTGATTTACATTCCCCAAGGAGTCTTACTTTTTTAACTAATAAAAAATTTTCGGTTGAAAATTTAATTTTTCCAAATTTCATGAAATTAAGTTAGTGGTGGGTAACATGTAAAAAAAAAAAAAAAAAAAATACCAAGATTTTCTAAAAGAAAAAAAAATAATTCTATTCATTTGTGAATAAGTCCTGAAAGTTTAATTAAAATCCAATAATTATTTGATTTTTGCAAGAATTTCCAAATCAATGTTTTTCACTTGAAAAAAAAAGCGCTAAAACAGTGTAGGGATGTAGAAGGCGCTTACCTCCCTTCGGTGGAGATAAGTCACGTGGTCACTTGTCGGTTTCTTCATGAAGTCACTCTATACAGTGACCCAAGCGGTAGTCATTTTGCAGTTCGTGGACATCAACCAAACGAGACAGCTGCTTTCCTTTTAGCCTGGGCACTTTGGCCCAGGGTGGGGCTGATTCTGCCTCCCCCAGCAGTTTACAAACATCATGGTGCTGTTTCCCTTTATGACATAGATGAATCCGGCCTAACATCTCATGTGAATGCTTAACCCACTCCAAGTTTTAGGAACAAGGGTGTCACGATAGAGAGTCGTATAGGGAAGGTTAATTTTGTTGAACCAACGATTATATAAAACCATTAACCTTCTTTGTTCTTTTTTGTGATATTTGTATTTTCACCAGCAGAAGCATTCTTGTCCTTTTCCATAGCACGATTCCGCTAACTTGATTCAGCGCTTAATTGCTGACGAAAATTCGATTGTCACTGCCCTGTGATCAAGAAACACAACGTAGGACAGAGCGGATGAAGTAACGAAGCGGTAAACAGATAACCATCAGTTAACCAATGCCAGTACTGACGAGCGTGGGAAAGACCCCGGATTGAGCTGGCTCGGCCGCGTTATGTTTCAGGAACAAAATGAAAATGACGATGAAAAATTATCCCTGTTGGAGGTGAAAGAGCTGCTAACCGTTCATAGAAACATGTCTTCATCTCTCTTTTATATAATGGTTTTATTTTTATTCGTTAACTACAAACAGTTGATTTCGATCTGCATGCAAAAAAATAAATGCTTCTAAAATCTTGTTTTAAAACTGACAAATGTTTGTGCGGAAATTAAAAGGTCTCTCTGTCATGTGTGTTCCATTATTTTGAATCCACAATTTAAAGCTATTTTAAGGACCCAGTCTCCCATCAGCAAAAATATTTATTGTCTACAGGCAGAAGAACTATTATTTAAGTAATCGCTTATTGGTAATAGATAATTTACGTTTTGCTTGTTGTTTGTTCCTTTCATTCAGTTGCCTACACTACAAACAGGTTACAGTTCCATTGGCATACAGATCGAGAGAAAGCGTTACAAATGTTAAAAGCCATCCACATAATGCCACAATTTGAGATTACGAAATGGACCATTGGCACATGTAATGCGAATAGAAAAGATGGCGGTAAGTACATCAGATTTTCCGATTATAAGAAGTTTATGAGGTTTCGGTTGCTTTGTACTATTTCATTTACTATGAAACATGACTTTTCCTACTTGGTCGCACTTATTAAAACGAAACATTAACAATATCAAGAGTTTGCCGAGAAGTTTTTGTCGTTTGGATTCTCCATTTTTGACAAAAGTGATTTTAGCTTATTTTTGGTCTTGTAGTGATAGCTTTCTTTCCAGACCCTATAGAAGCTAAATTCAATAAAATTGCTTTTTGTTGTTAAACTTTTTTTTTTAAGCCTAATTGCATTCGACCTAATTTCAGTCGCAATCATATTGAGATAGCGCTTTTTATTTTGTTTATCAATGAAGTCAATAGAAACTGTCTATATTGAGTACATGGAACTATTTATGAAAACTGTTTATCGAAAATAAAAACATACTAGGGAAATGTGGCTATATTAGTGTTAGAGCCTCAATTAAAAACAGTCGTCTTCAGGCAGAACACTGGATCTTATTTCTGTTCTCTGCTAACTTCAAAGATATAAAATTGTTTACGTCCATCGCATGAGGTGGACAATACCTTAAGTGAGTTTACCTATTATGGCGAAAAACCGTACAATTTTTATTCCTTAATTCTTTCTTGGTTGATTTTGGAAAACTACAAAAAATGGTCTTTAATTGTTTAAGATTAAAGACTAACTTATATCCTGATCACCTTCGGTGTTTGTTTAATGAAACATTTTAGGCAGATGTTTTGAGAAATTTACGCCCGCCGTTTAGTCTATTAATTTAAGTTGGTTTTTGCATTGTGATTGAAAATGAGAAATTGTAGCTATGCAACTAGAAAATTTCTGTTTGGAGTCAGAGTAGAATACACATTGTTATTCAATTTTGTCAATCGTAGAAATATCTATTTAAATCATTATTCAATAATATCAAAATAAAGTTTTCACAGTTGTCAAAACCGCGAAAACTTTATTTTACACACAATTCTGTCAGTCAAGTCAATAGGCTAAAATTGGTTCTTCTTTTATGTACCGTGCCCCCCCCAGGACATAGGCGATCATGGCTCCCCACAAATTCCTCTCCCTTGCAGCTCTTAATAAATTTTTGTCTTTCTGTCATTTCTCCTAAACCCTGTTCCACCATGCAGTGTGTGTGTGCGTAACCATCTGTTTCACACACTTTCCCATTGTCGTAACTTAGCTTCCCTGTGCCTTTTCTATATTTTCATGGTAATTGTCCTGATTAATTTTCTTCTATCGTACCTAGACATTATGAATTGTGTAGTACTAGATTGGCAGCAATGTCTCATCATTTTACAGTTGAAATGGTGAGAAATGGAACCATAAGTTCTCAGTTTACAATTTTTTCTCTCGCACCTCTCATTTATGGAACTATCTTCCGGTTTCTTGCTTTCCGGTCAATTTTGATCTTCAAAATTTTAAGTGCAATGTCAATCGCTATCTTTTTAATTCCTGTTCTTTTATTGTTCGCTTTCCTTAATATTTTTCTCATACTCAGTAACTCCTTGCGCCTCAGTAGCTTTATTACCTTGCTTGAGGTGAAATGCTTAAAAAAAATATGTTCGATGTGAATTAACTTTTTTATAAGGTACCGCATCCATTTGTTTTAACTATCAATAGAATTATTTTGGATGTATTCAAAAATATTATTCTATGACTGTATGTTTAAAACCGATGAAATTCAAAATTTTACATGTGAAAAAAGTTAACATATAATATAAACGATGTGCAATGTCCTTCGTAATTAAAACCTACGTGTGTTTAATTTCCTATTTGCTTTCTAGAATATTTCTCTTGTTTGCGGGCCGAATTTTACTTAAAACGAAGCATGGGTTTTTACATCCTTCACATCTATTGTCCGTGTTCCCTCACTGTACTCGTCTCCTGGCTTTCATTTTGGCTCAACATTGATGCTGTACCTGCCCGGACCTCATTAGGTGTTCTTACCGTACTGACCGTTACCAGCCAGACATCAGCGGCCGTTTCTGCCCTGCCTAAAGTCTCATATGTGAAGGCCATTGATATTTGGATGGCTGTTTGCCTCATATTCGTCTTCCTTGCTCTGCTTGAATATGCCCTTGTTAATGTCCTCAACAGACGAGAAATAAAACAATACTTCAGACGCCGATCCAATCGAATGGATTCAGAGAAAGTGTCAATTACGGTTTTCGTAAGTTTTCATTTTCATTGTTATATTTTTAACTTTCAAAAAGTCTCCTTCAAGGTAATATTCATTACATCATAAAATGGATTTATAAAATACGAAAGTGTGGCTTTATTATTTCTATACTGGAGAATCTTTGTCAGAATGTTCGAATCCAATACTGAACGGTTATAAATCTAAAATCGATATTTTAAGCATTGATCACGGATTCTTTTCGGATTTAAATGTTTTAACCAGCCAAAACCTTCAGAAAAAAAAATGAGTCTAAAATTAGTCAAGGAAAACTAATACTGCTAAAATGTACCTTCAGGACCGGTGTAAGGATCTCGTGCTTTCCAGTTTATGATACAATTACCACCATAGTTTATGATACTGTTCCTCCCCCTCTACTACATCTCAATTTTAATAATGCTGTATTCATATAAAATACAAATCTTATTGTAACCTAATTATGTACAACAATGGATCATGTGCAATTTAGGTGAACAATTCAGCTAGAAAAACTGAAAATAAATACAAGGTATCTAAATATAAATTAGAGACATGTCATGATAGATCATTAAACAAATCAACAATGTTTTTTGCGGCAATTTTTAACATCAACTTGAGATTTTTCTTGGTAAGAAATTGAATGATTTTTTAACACTTTCAAGTCAACATTATGTGTAAGATTTTGAGATTTAGCATGAGCAAAAGAAATTCACAGATTTGAGGGCCGGGGTTGGGGGTGGGGGTGGCAAATCCGTGAATTTGTTTTGTTTGCTCATGCTAAATCAGGATGTTCTTTGGTGACTAAAAGTTTTCTATCAGGCATAGGAAAATCATGTAAATAGACAAGTATGAAAGATGGGGAAATATTATAGCAGAATAAGTAATACTGATATTTATAGTCTTGTGCTGAGTTTTGTTTAAAGTCGAGGGGCGGGGGGCTAACTTTTCAAAGTCATAGCGAGTGATATGCTATGTCAACAAAAGAAAAATCGCGTGTAAGTTTGGGAGACAAGAAGTAATAAAAAATAAAGAATAAGTAAAAGACAACAGTAAAAGTAGATTCAATCAAAATATTATGAAAAGACCAAACGTAAAAATATCAAGTCACATACACGTGAATGAATAAAGAATTATTTATAAATCAATATTTATTTCAGCCATTTCCTCTGAGCGCCGCAGGTTTGGGCCTTTCCCAAGGCTAGCCAAACATGAGTAACATTTAACAAAATATTCTCTTGTAAGAATGCCTCTGCCAATACAGAAAGATTTATTAAATTAAATGATAGTAAAGTTAGTGATTTTGTGCGTTTTTTCAGGTCAACACGTTCCGACGAAGAGGTGTGTTTTTCTTTTTGTTTCTTTTTAAATTTTCTCTAAACTGGTTACCAACCATTAGCACAACTGTCGCATAGTTTCGCTCACAAGGTCCGTACTATGTGACACATGCTGACATCATCTCTATAGGTCTACATTTTTGATTAATCGACTATTGTGAGATTCGAAATTAGTCTCATGGTTCGAATGCTAACTCCGAAACCATTTCAGCTACAGTTAAAGCTTAAAACATCTAAGATCCTTTTTCTTACCGAGCATGCTCCAAAATATTAAGTATTTTATATCTTTCCTTCTGTTTGCTACATAAGCCACCATAAACAAGAATTCACACGCATATTATTCACATACACACACATGGAAGACGTGTTTTTTTCACTTAAAATTTGTATTTTTCTGTTCTAAGTGGCTTGAAAAATTTATTGTAAGTTTTTTTTTAATCCAACTAAATTTTTTTGACAAATCTGATTATTGTGTTAAGACACAAACCCCAAAGAAAAGAATACACGTATTCAAATATACATTGGTTGTTGTGGCGTCTTTTTTATAACACATAAAGCTCTTACTGTCTTACAGAAAGATTAATAATACGAGTTATTTATGTATAGCGTAATTTGTTCATTTTTTTTTTTTTTTCAGAGCAATGGTTACACAGAACAAGATTCCACTGTTGTCAATTATGAACAAGATCCCAACGGGAAAGAAAAAGCAAGACAAGTGGACAAATATTCCAGAGTCATATTTCCTGTTGTTTTTTCACTCTTCTCAATTTGTTACTGGGCTTATTATTTAATAGTATAAACTATAAAATCACTTAACCTATTTCTCGCTTTCTTCATGATGCAATCATCTCTATTATGTTATGAGTATGACAATGTAAAATAGAAGACGTTTTGACCAAAGAACTTTCGGAGCAACAAAACGTTCATTTTGACTAATAGAATCGCTTGCAATCTTGCCTTATTTTTTTATTTGCTGATTTAATCATCGATTTAAGAGATTATCTTTTTTTAGGTTTGATAATGGGCTAAATGATCCAATTCTCAAAATGAATCGTCAATCTTTGCTATTTTGCCAACAACTAATCCAAACACTAATTCTTGTACTCTTTGACTACATGTTTGTATGATTTAATAACTGATTTACTAATTAACGCTTACTATCGATATATAAATAATAAACGGACACGAACCTCCATTGTTACTCGCAAAACTTGGCAAAGGGAATATTGAAATTGGTAAATTTAACTACGATCTCATCACTGCCACTAAAGTTTTTCGCTTCAATTATTGAACTTTTACTAAAAAATGATTATGGCCACTAAAGAGTTTTCTAAACAAGAAAGATTGTGTTCAATTTTCTTTTTGGTTTTATTATTGTTACTAAGTACGCTACAATAAATCTAGATTCGCGGCTTTTTTGGGGGTTTTTTTTAAGTTAAATTATGAAAATTATTGAACTGAGATGAAATATTTTTCATAACTGCAACAAAAACGGACGACATTTTCTGGCTTCATGGTATCCTTCTTTAGTCTATATACTTGTCGTTTGTGAACAGCTGTGGTTAGTTAGACAAAACCCAACACAAAAGAAAATAATAACCAACAAATATTATGTGGATGAAACAAAAGATAACCATAATGTCAATGAACAGAAGTTCTACGGACAGGGATCTATATACACAAAACTAAATAAATAAATGAAAACTTCTGAGAACAAACTGGACATTAGAGATTTCTGACCATAGGCTTGTATTAACAGCCATAATAGGGATATGGTTCATTTCTGGAAAGCCTGATTGTCTCTCATTCCAGACCCCACCAGTTAGAATTGCCTTTAGTGTGTGCATCCTGATGTTGAGGTGAGCAGAGTCAGAAGGAATTTAGCTGGTTGGTTAAAAATGGCAGTTGTACCAAGTGTCATCTGCACAAGAGATTCTGTGAATTAAATAACTAAATGTTTTGAGTCATCATTTCTCACCCCAGCATTTATTTTTTTATCTAACATTTTCCTTGAGGAACTTACAACAGTTCTTTCCTAGTTTTTGGTGCACACCAACATGAACGAGAAAGAAAATGCAGTGTTGGGGTTTCACGTGCACCCTCCGCCATTTTATGTTTGGTTGGAAGTCGGAGGTGAGATTTTATTATGCAAGTTAAACCTTTAACTTGCATAATCTGCTCTTTTTATACATTTTTGCTTAACCATCTACAGGATGATCAATAAGAATGAGATTTCTTTAATCCCAATAGAATTGTGTTTACTGATTTTATAATTTGGTTCCTTTGAAATGATCATTTTTCAAAAGATGTTTCTCCATTGTAGATATTTATTAAACTTAGCAAGAAAATAGGACACAATGTCATTATTATTATTATTATTTGGGCAAATTCAAAGCTTTTGTGAATGGTTTGTAATTTTGCTCACCAGTGCTATGTTGCCAGCACAGTTCATGTAAAGGCAAATGCAATGCCTGGGGGTATTATTTTGTTTAAAAAATCTGAAAGGCTAAAAGATACTTATCAATATTAGTGACAAGAAATGCAACATTTTAAATATGCTTTTGAAATAAACATATCCACTAGACATTTGTATTTATTGTAATGGTCACTTTGAGCTAAAATCCTTAAATGTGATCATATCTTATGGCTTGTCTTAAAATTTATTCTTATATTTGCTTGCAACTTATTTTTGTTTATTTTTAAATGAAAAAAAAAGAAGTAAATCTCATTCATTTTCTAATTTTTTCCTGCAATCAAAAGTAAAAAAGATATTGCAGATTTCATACATTTTTCATCTTCCAATTCATTAAGATCAATTCTTACTCAATTCCCATATTTGTAATGAAAAAGTTGTTCATTTAATGACATTTACAGAACATCAAGTCAAGCAGAATGTGGTAGACATTTGCATTCTTCTTGATTCAATTAAATGTGCTCTATGTTTTTTTTATCCAGTATGTTCTTAAATTCAAAGTCAATTTTATCTTAATGTAAAGAAAAGAAGCATAAAACTACAAATCATTTTATTACATTTTCCCTTTTTTGTATCAACTATCAGAGCAAATACAGACCCTAACACAATGGAAAGTTAAAAAGTAATTTAGAAACCAAATTTAAACATTCTAAAATGTTATGATTAAGGCAAAAATAGTCAATGCTGTGGATTTTCTGTTTGTGTACCTGTAATAAAGAGGAGGCAAAAGTAAAAGTTGACACTTTTGTGATTGACTGAAACAAAGTGTGTCGGTGCAAGTAGATCTATATAGATAACTTCCAACTAAGGGTGTGTGGGGGGGGGGGTTAGAGAATTACAAATATTCCAGTCAATAAATTTTTTGTACCTAAAACAAAAATTTGCCTCTGTGAGCCAGTCTAGACATATAAAAGAAGCAGAACGTTTCAGTTTCTTCAATTACTAAAGGCATCAGTTGTTTTCTCTCCAACTTTTGATAACGTGTACACCAATTACCTCATACAGTATCTATTTTCTTTATTCTCTTTACAGTGAACACCAAAACATCATTTATTGTATAAAGTGTAAAATATTTAAAAGACAACAACTTATTTTGTTTTTATAAATTTAATTTGTGTTATTTTCAATGACAATGATTGCATTTATTTGAAACTATAATTTTTTTTTCTTTAATGTATTTTGTTTTGAAATTAATTTTTTTTCATTAGCATCATTTATTTTTTAGAAAATAAACGTTTTAAAAGTGGAAGCATGGGATGTTACTCTAAATTGGGGTGGGGTGATTAACAATGCATATATAATTCCAAAAATGGACCCTGACTTTTACTTTGAAATTATATCATTGAATAATCAATTTATAATCTAAATTTACTGTTAAATTGTACCTGGATGTTGTGTCCACCTTTATGCAAATATGTGGGTAATTTTAAAATAATGGAAAACGGAAACAAAATGAATTTATCAAGTTTATAATCTGGAGTTAGTACAATTGGAATACCATTTATTGAGTTCTTAGTTACAGAGAAAACTGTCTTTTTACAATTCCATACTTTAAAATAAAGGGAATTATAGTCTAACACAAAAAGTAGCACTATGTTTATAAAAAAGAAACTCAGGGTCCAGTTTAGCATTAAATTTACATTGTAATTTAATCCCATTTAAGAACATTAGAAAGTTAATTTTGCAAAAGAAATTAAAACAATAAGCATTCAAAGCATATTAAGAAAAATCTCATTTTCCTCCAAGAATATACACTTCAGTTTAATGAAATATTGACCAAAACAACTGTCAAGGCTTGAGATGTTTATTACAAATGGAAGAGAAAACAGGTTTAGAACATAAGTGACACTTTTGCAGTAAGTGATCAACCAAATGTCAGATAGAAGCAAGTAAGAAGTTCTTGACATAACCCCTCACTTTCCAAAATCTGATCAAATGGCCAAATTGTAGATTTTTGTTTATTCTATTGAAAGACCTTCTTGGTCGGCTTAGGTTTTCAGCCCTTCAACCAAAAACATAAAAGATAGAGCAATTGAACTTGTCCTTACAAAATTTGAAAAACAAAGAATCCATTTAAATTAAAAAAAAAAAAAAAAAAAAAAATGTTCACTGAGAGTGGGGAATCCAATAATATGGATCAAGAGACACATATAAGAAAAATTTATTAGAAATCTTTCTTCCTTTCTTTAAATGAAATTGGAAAGTCCCTCTCCCTGCCACTAATGTAATGAACATGCAAACGATACTTGAGTAAGAAACACAAAAGAAAAACAGAAAGAACCCAAAGTTTTGTTATACAATTTCAATGGATACAGAATATATTACAAAAGTGGAAATATGATAAAAGAAAATATGTTTAAAAAAGGAAAATGTTTAGTTTAAAAGAATAAGCAGAAAGTTATCGATTTTTAGATCCCACCCCCATATATTGGTCATAAGGCAAGCAGTCCTTTATCAGTGAGAGCTAGTGTGATACAGATATAAATAAAAGCAGGTCTTCCTTGTAAATTGAGTGCATTTAGAATAGAATATGTGTGTGTGTGTGTGTGTGGCTAAATGTTACCAAATATTACCCAGTAATCAAGTAGCTATAATTAAGCAAAAGATATATCTGGATAAACTTTCAAGACAAAACTCAGTGAAAAAAACTTATATTCTATAAGTTATCAGTGAAAATCTATCTTTTGATAAATAGACTTTACACAAAACTATTCTCTCATTAGAATTGGTCTCATCAATTTGCATGACTTGAAAACATTGCAAACTAAATGAGATTCAAAACATTAAGTTTCAGCAACAGAGCAATTAAACAAGAAAAGATACAATTTACAGTTTAAAAGTAAATTTTTTGCTGAAAGTTTTTTTTTATTTATTTCTAAGTGTTACATTCTAAAATATTCAGCTGTAAAATCATTTCTATGAAGGTGAAGACTGAAACTAGAAGTTTAAAAAGTTCAGAAAGAATTTTAGAATATTAATAAAAAGTGTTATTTGTGTTTTAATCAAATACTAAAGTTCATTGAATTTTATCTAGAGCCAATCAAATGCTTGTTATATAAAATTGGTTCCAAGATTAATAGAATTAAACCAAAATTATTTAACAATTAAAACCGAGTCCATCCAAAAGTCTGATTTAGCCACAAAAAAAGATTAATATAAACCTAGGCAAAATTTAGTTTTTGTTTTTTTTGTAAGCAACACATTCTTGGCATGATATTGATTTATAAAATTGTTGAATACAGATTAAAGTCTTTCATTGCATTAATCCAAGTAGATCAATATTTTTTGATTATTAGAGAAAAAATAGTTTAAACAATTTCCTGCCAAATAATGTCAGTAATTTCAAACATTTTTGTCATTTAGTCATTTTCCTTTATCATTTAAAAAAAAAAAAAAAAAAAAGTCTGCAAAATATAATTTCTCGGCAAAAGAATGGACACATCTACACAGTGACCATCTGTTAATATTTCATCCAAGCCCAATTTGGCAAGAAGATTAATTCATTTCATAAACTGACCAACTAAAGATATCAGCGACCAACAGAGATTTATTGTAAGCAAATCAGATTTGTTAATATAGATCTCTGTAGAGTAGCATGTCTTTTCTCAAATCAATATATTGGAACTGAACTCAGCTTTCAACTTTCAATTTTACTTTATTTAAAGCTGAATTTTCTTTTAAGCACAGTATCCAAAGGAGGAAAACAGATATTCAGTAACATTTGAAATGTCAGATTTTCTGTTTTTCAAGAATTGGTCAGCTTTCTCATTTCCTTTATAGATTCTTTGATTACCATTTGATAGGAAACGAGTTTAGGAATTGTTTTTTTTTTTTTTTTACACTTTCTGTGCTTCAACTAAATTGGGAAGAGAGAAATTTCATCATTTAGCCATTTACTGTTTCAAAGAGAAAAATGTCTCTTGTCCCCATGTAATCAACACACCACACACATTGATGCAAAAAAATCACAGTAACTGGCCTGCTGACAAACCACAAATTATAATAGTAAACATTAAATATAGTAAACTTTTGTTATTCAATTTATTGTTTTGTGGTTTTGTTAAAAGTCACTGAATTAGCAGCAGAGAACTGATAAACCTCAATTTTTTTTAAAGCAGAAAAACAAAAATATTTAAAAAAATTTAAGATAACTTAAAATTTAACAACTTACTTTCAAGATATTTTTCTTAATTACCTGTATTGATTGCTGTACAAAAATAAGCAGTTCCTGTAAAATATGTAAAATATATATAATCCCAAGCAATGCTTAGATCAACAAGTATGTGGACACTGTGTCAGATTTTATTAGGCAATTTAATGTTTTCACAATAAAAATGTTATTAACCCATCAACATTTGTAAAGTCTTCATAATATATTTCTATGATGAACCCAACATGAATTTCAGATTTTAATAACTGTTTCTATTAGAAATATTAGCAATAATTTATTTGGTGGTGTATGATTTTATTAAGCAATTTATGGACTGTTCATATTATATATTTTTTATTGACATTTTAAAAAATTTCAAGTATATAAAGATTGTCATGGGTTGTAAAAAAGATATAACCTCAAAGAGAAATAAAATATTGAGTGATAGGAATACAACTCTGAAGGTTGAAAAAATAATGAATTGGGAACAGAATAATAATAAAATAAATTGAAACCATTGGAATAAGAATGGAAAAAAACCTGGTTTTAAGAATTTCACCAAATGCGATTTGAGAGAAATTAAAAGTAATAAGCCAAAAATTGGTGACCAACAGGAATATATTTAAAGATGGTGTTGTGATGTAGAATATTGGCTAAAGACATGAAAACAACCAAACCTTTAGATAAACATTAAAAAAAACTGTGAAAAATACATGAAAATGAATTTTTAATGATGTATATAGAGCTATATTGGTTGAACCTGATAGCAAGGCTAGATGTTGTGTCCTTCATGGAAATAGTTAATCAGTATGATTCATAAGACAACAGGAAGAGAGGTGAAGTGTTTGGGGCAAATATTGTAAGTAGAAAATTATTAGTCAGTCAGTTAAGTGCCACACATGATAGATGCATGAGTGATATTGTCTTTTTCAATTCATGATTGACTAAGCAGTAGATTTTCTCACAGTAGGTTGCTGTTTCTTTCTGTGGTAGACTGGTTGCCAACCAAGGCTATAGGACCCAGTCTAACCTGCTATTCAACTCTTAATAGGGGGAAGAAGAAATGGATTCATACCTTTCCCAAGGGTATTTGGGCATAAGTGAATGTAATGAACCTGGTCGGAATTCAAACCCAGTTCTCTGAATTCTAATTCCAAGCCATTATCCATTACACCACACTGCACAGTCAATTATAGGTCCCTTTAAAAAAGTCAAATTAATGGAACAGCCCCAGCTACTTCAAATATTTTCAATAGGAAACTTGTGGTTCATCATTAAAAGAGATGCATATAAGAATTGAAAGCAATATTCAAATGAACATCTCTTGGAAGCAATAAGAACGGCTGTAATTAATGTTGGAGTTGAGCGAGTAGAAAAATTAAAATCAATAAACAAAAGACAGATAAAAGTTGTAGAATGTCAGGCAGCCCATATTAATATGTAAAATAAGAATTTGTTTAGGTATATGTGATCATGTATTAATCAAATATTGCTTTTTAAGTCCTATACATTTGGGATTTATTTCTAAAAAAAAAAATCTTTTTGTACTTGGTTGCATGGAAAATTATCAATATCTTTAAAAAAAAAGTTTCATTATTATAAGTTAAAACTTACAATATATATTTTAGTATTGGCTTATTATTTAATAGTTTAATTTTAATTTCATTGTGAAAACATTGACTTGCATAATAAAATCTAACGCTGTGCATGTGAGCGTTCATAGGTGGGGAAAACAATTGGAATATTTTAGTATTAATTTAGCATTTGTGACTTCAGGTGCTTACAGGGGAGGCAACTCTCTGTGCACAATTGGATGACATCGAAGTGGATGCTGCGACTGCCTGGCTACTACTACTGCTGCTAGTACCACGGGCATTCCTGCTGTCCCGTTCTTTCTTTAATTCTTCGTACTTTTTCTGCAGCTGGGACTTCAAGAACAAAAGTTCCTTATTCCGAAGATGGATTGGTTCCTAGAAAGAAAATAAGTTATTATCACGATGTTTGTTATTTTTGTAGATACACAAATATTTACTTTTTTTTTTTTTTTTTTTACCCAACTACATCTACAGGCCTGAATATTCGAGAAATCTTGTCAGAAAAATGTGCATCCTCTGGCAGGAATTGAACCTGCATCTCCTATGGGGAACCGTCATTGGATCAGATGTGCCTAACCATTTGGCCACATAGGACTTACAGTCAAACAAAGCCCAAATAGAGATACTCTCTGCTGATTCTTGAATCATCCATATCTGCTCTGTTCAAATCAAGCCAAAGGACGCATATTTTCCTGACAAGATCTCTCAAATATTCAGGCCAGTAGTTAGATAAAAAATACTGTTTAATTAAAAAACTATTTGCTGAATTTATATTAGTTGCTAGTAGTGTGTATTCTTTTTAATTTTATAATTATAAACAAACATCCATTTTGTCAATACTTGCAACACTAACCCTGACCATAAAACCAAATTTTATATAATTTTCAAATGGTCAAGTTTGCTTTTGCTTGTTCTTTAATACACCAGCAGCTGCCACCTAAGTCAGCATTATTTGTTATTTTCACGACATCATAAAGTCAGTAACAAATTTTATCAATTTTGGTATGTTTTTGAATATTTACTATAAAAAAGGTGTGTGATGGAAAATTTTTCCATATTAAAGTGGTAGATAACACCCAAAATATTGAGAAGCTCCTGCTCTAATGTAAGAATAAAAAAAAAAAATAACATGTACACTAATCACATTTTTAAAAACTTTCTCTTTTTTTTTTTTTTTAATTCATCATAGAGATTACATGGAGCATCTGATCATATCAGAAAAATAATTAAATGTAAATACAAATAAGAAGGTTGCAATGACTGTCATAAAAGGAAAGTATTCCTGCTTATTTTGACTTTGTTTATCCAAAAAGTATACAGCTATTCTAAATAAATCAATGACTGGTTGCATGATCTTGATGCAACCAACTGGATGATATTGTCACATTGACAGTAAATATGCATGAAGTTTTGGTTGAAACTTTGACATTCATCTGCAAAAACCATTCATTTCGGATATGCTTCAATGAGTAAAGCTCAGATAAAATCTTTGTAGCAATGCTTCAAACTTGTCCAGGAATATATTGACAACTTTTTGCACAGGTCTTTAAGAAGCAGAACACCCAGAAATGTTGATCAGAAATTGATAGTGCAAGTATTAGAAAACCACTTTGGGGATTTGATAAAGTGCCGTCTGGAAAGTATCAAGCCATTTGCAACTTCTTGTTTTTCCTCTCTAATGAAGGAGCTTTTAACAAAACATTACATCACCCAAGTTTGTCTTCTAGTTTTTCCCAAAGCAATTTTCAAATTACTGTTGAAAGAGACAGGTCTTTGGACTTTGATGAAATAAACTGCAGTGAAGCAGCTGATGACAAAGGACTTTGACTGCTTTGAAAAAAAATGGAAAAGATACTGTGTGTAACATCTCTAAATGAGTACTTTCATCAGGTTTATGTCCCATTGCCTGAGGTAGGCTACTTTTTTATAAATATTAAAAAGTGTAAATTATTTCCAGACAGATCACATATTGCAAATGTTTTTTTTAAACTATAAAGGAAGACAAATTAATGAACCAATAGCTCTTATATTATGAATTCTATCCATCACAACAGAATATTCTTTTGAAAAAAACAAAACACTGAACTTGTGAAAATTTCAAGTGATATCAAGTGATTTACTGCTTCCTCCACAAAAAAAACAAAAAAAACAAAACAAAAAAACAAAAAAACAAACACAACAAACAAACAAAAAGTTTTGTAAATTATTTTTGGCTCATCCAACCATGAATTTTTTTGTGCTTCCAAGTGAGTTTTCGTTTACCATGTTTATTTGATTGTAAAAGTGGATAAAACATTTTCATTTAAATTTAAATCCTTTTGACTGATTTTAATGTTATTCAGTAGTGAAACTTTTTATTATGGCCTTAATTTTACTAGAATCAATTAATCATGAAGCAATATTCTAAAATCTTTTATAATTTTTAGAGTTTCATAATAGAACTTTTGTCATTATAATTGCAAATTCTTAAAATATTTGACAGCTTGTGTGCATTCTAATTATTGAATAAATATGTCAAAAGTTTTGATGTCTCAATACAACTTATGAATCAGACAGAACAATTGTTCTTATTAATATTATTTAAAAGTAATCAAAAAATTAAATGTCATACTTATTTCAAAGCGATGTGATCACTTTCAATGATTATTTCATTCTTTTTGAAGATGAGTGAGAATACTTAAAAATAATAGTAAACAAATTAAACCTTACAAAACAATTGTAGATTTTCTGACTTGGAAGTCTCTACAGGTTCAAATTATTCCAAAGCATATTCTAGCTACAAATTCCAGACATACCTGAGGTCTAAGTCTTGGGTTCCATCTGCAGTAGTACCCCATCCAAAGTTCAATTTGGCGCATACTGGCCACAGGTAGAAGCACATGTTGGTCCAAATATGTAGCATAGAGTGGGTTTAAAAAGTCTTCAATATTACTATTAATAAAACTCCATAAAGAAACGGTTTTGTGTTTCACGTCCTGCAAGTAAACAAGAAAACAGATTAAAAAAAAAAAAAAAAAAAGTAAAATTAAAAAATCCTTCCAAACAGTAACTATTTTCATATTTTAATTTAATCTTCAATATTATGATGATTCTAATGTTAATGAATTATATAGTCAAATACATTCTCTTTATACATTATGCTTAATTCCTAAAAGATATACTACTCAGAATATGTTTGAGGCTAAAATACAAATTATTCAAATGGTTTCTTTTAAACAATAAAGAACCAATGATTTTTAAGACTGGGTCAACATCCATAGATTTAAGAGTAGCATATTGGTTATTTGTTAGTAAAGGGCATTCAGTGTGTAGAGTTCAAATTCACTTTGTTCTTGTAAAAGGTATAAATCCACCTCCCTCTGGCTATGAATTAAATAGATGGGGGCAGACTGGACTCAATTGCCTTGAATGACAACTGAATTCAAGGCCAGTCTGAAGAGGGTTATTTTGTTTTAAATACACACACTGCTGATACAACTGCATTACATGTACTGCTCCAATAATGTGTTATGGGACTTGTGATCATGATAGTTAAGGAATTTCAGGTTAGTCTCTAGTTAAAAAGATTTTTTTAGTCAAACATAATTCCATTACAAGTGGGACACATTAGACCCAGGGCAACAGTGACAGTAGCACAAGTTTAAGGAATAAGTGTAAATCTGAATAGTTGACCATAAATTGACAAATATGATTCAAGCTCAGAGAGTCTCTGCTGATGATCTTATCAAATTGAACTGAAATACAATTTGTGTTTCTTGTGGAAATGATTTGTAAAAGCCATTTTGAGAAAAACTACTTTCACTTGAAATGGAGAAATGTTAAACAGGTATCATAGAATTCCAGGTCTCAAGAAGTTGTGTGACAGACAAAATATTTCCCAGACAGAATTATGAAGGAATGATATCTAAGTTAGAGATATCAATGTTATTAATGCCTGCTATGACATTTATAGAGTACCCAATGTGTTTTCTAGGAATTAAGATGAGGTGGAGTTGAATGGTCAAATGCACCTGACATAAGTGTTCCTTTATCAAAGAAGCTCAAAATCTAAGGCATGGGTAAATAATATATTAATTCTCAATAAAATCAAAACACTGAAGTAATTGGAATAAAATTAACAGCAAATAGAAGACAGTACAGAAGTGACTCCATTCCAAAATTAGTTACTTTCAGTATTACTTTGGAAGCCACCAAGTGCAGCAGAAGCACCTACCTTTCTATCAATGTGTTTGTCAATGGCAAGAATATTCCCCTCAAATGTTAAAGTCAAAAGAATTTATCTGAAGAATATTTCCTATCTCTCTCAGTTCTCTACCTCTTGGCATGATGATAATTTACTTATACAAATATCAATTACAGAATGTTCTGTTTGTATGTTTTGGGCTAAAAATAATTACTGATAACATTATTAGAATATTCTATGGTATTAAAGCAATTTAAATGTTTTAAAATCTGAAATTTGTATTGTACGAATACTTTTTTTCACCCAATAAAATGGATCAATGGGATTTATTTCTATCGAATCAATTTTTTTTGTTTTCTATGTATATTTAGTTATTATGCATCCGTGTACAGTTAATTATATGAAAAGTATGTTTAGTTGAAAATAAAAATGAATTAAAAATTTGTATGTGTACGAATATTTGTTTTCCCACCACTGTGTGTGTGTGGGGGGGGAGAGGGAGAGATATAAAGAAATATACATATCTTACATTAATTGTAAGACTCCGAATTTCATGCCGAAGCAGTTTTCAAGTGCTGGAATATATATTTATTTATATTTTCGGTTGACATTGTTTTGTTTTTTTTTAATTTTCTGGTTAACACGAAATATATTATGGTTTGGGGGGAGGGACATTGGAGTTAAAATATTTAATTGTTTAATTTTGAATTTAAGCTCAGATTAACGTTTAACGTTGAAAATAAGAAATATAAATTCTAAATTAGAGAGACGCTAGTTTTAAAAACTTAAGTAAACAAAAAAAAGGGCGTTGGAAAATCAAGGGGGGCAACTCTAATTTTTCAAAAAAAAAAATCAAGAGAGTAAGTGATAATAATATTACTAAACTAACTAATGATATCAAGAACAAAGTATGCCATGATAAAATAATATAAAATAAAAACTACTACTACTAACAATAATAATAATTATACATACCAATGGAAAGAAAATAATTTAAAATAAAAAATAAAGTAAAATAAAATAAGAGCCTTATATAAATATGTAAATAAACACGTTAAAATGTTTAAATGAATTGTAGTTGGTTTTGAATTTGGAGTTCAGACCAGATCAACAGTTAAGGAAATAATAAATTCTAATTTAGAGAGATGCTGGTTTAACAACTAGAAGTGGTGTTATAAAATCAAGTGCGGATGGTAACTATTTTTTTCAGGGAATCAATAGAGTAATTAATAATAATATTCCTAAAAAAAAAAAAAAAAAAAAAAAAAAAAAAGTAGTGCTATCAGTAATAATAAAATATGCTGTGATAAAGTAAAATCAGTTAAGGTAAAATAAAATGAAATGAAAACCATATATAGGAACTTGTAAATATGCAAATAAATAAATAAATGAGTAAATAAGGCAAATTAATGATTAACTGAATAAAAATAATGAATGCAAATAGATGAGTAACTAAACAGGTTTCTAATTGTAAAACTAAAAGATGAAAGAAAGAGACAACAAACAAAGCAAATAATAAAAATAACAGTTATATACTAAAAATGGTAGTGATAAGAGAATGAAAAAAAAAATGTAATGACAAAAGTGTTAAATGTGTTTTCATCTAAAATTAACAATAGTTGTACAATAAAGGTAGCCAGAAAAAAAAAAAAAAAAAAAAAAAAATATAAAAAAAAAATATATTATCAATACTAGTAAATGTGGATGCCTGGTCCAGTTAGACAATATTAATCTGAGTCAACATATTTGTGTAGGAATTTGGATCGATGTAGGTAGGTGCTATCAACTCATTTCTTTTGTTTATGAGGTAAGGATTTTTTATATTTTTCAGGATTATTAATTTTTCAAAGAGACACGTTACATTTATTGCCTTTCCCGCTGCAGGGCTTAGCTTTCACTATTAATTCCCAGGTGATAATTAGGTTTTTACTATTTACATTATTCAGACTATTGTCCTCATCTTTGTTGCCATATTATCACAACATTTCAGCCATTGTACACTCTGGCCTTCTTCAGGTGGTTGGAATGTTGAACTGAACCCTTTATTTTACTCGCTGGGGTAGACTGTCCTAGTTTCACATGCCATGTCTAATGGATGTCAGTTATCAGTAATATAGAGTGCCAGAGAAAAGCAATAATAACAACAAAAATTGCAATATGAGCTCTGGTAAAAAACATGCAATGATAATAGCAAAAATTGCAATATGAGCAGTGGTAAAAATAGTTGCTGAAGACATTAAGTTTATAAGTCCCAGATATTCATACAGATGTCCTTAATATTTTGTAGCAGCAGACAAATGATATAGATTTGAAAGAATTCCCAAAGAAATGTGATGATGGAAGAATATATTGTATAAAAGGCCTACCTCCTTTGCACGCTGCTGTTCAGTATTATAAAGAAATGTTCCAAATAAACAAGAGTATAAATGGTCCATAATTGTTATCAGGAAATGTTCATTGAACTCAAAGGCAATTGGGAACTGAAATAGAAAGGGAAAAATAAGAAGTCATCAGTTAAGAAATAAACAATGACAGGGAAAATTCTTAAACCATGAAATTTGTTTTATTCTAAAGTTTTAAGTCACACAGAAAAAACAAAAACATTAACCCAATCACAGATTGCATGAGTATTCTCAAAGAAAAAAAAAGTGAATTGCAATTTTTCAACCTCTTAATGTTACTGGTGAAACATGGCTCAATTCAGAAATGATTACTAAAATTTTTTAATTGTTTTTAAAAAGTGATAATTTATTTTAGCGTAAATCATGACTGAATATAAAATGATCATTCATGACTGAATATAAAATGATCATTCATGACTGAATATAAAATGATCATTCATGACTGAATATAAAATGATCATTCATGACTGAATATAAAATGATCATTCATGACTGAATATAAAATGATCATTCAACACTGTTTATTCATCATGTTTCTGAATTCAAATCCAGGAGACTTCTCACTCCTGTTGGAGGACCCCTCCCCTCCTTGACTAGTGCTGTAGTTGTACTCACTATACTTGGCCAGTTGCAGGTAGAGGAGACTATTTAACTCATAGGTAGATGTTCTGAATTCATAAGTTGTACTTTCCAGACTGATTGACACCCAAGACTGTACGCCTCAGTCTGTTGTGCTATTTAACAATATCTTACCCCCCCCACCACCACCACCACGGGAGCGTAGAAGAGTTGGACTCCTATCTTTCCCAAGGGTATTTGCATATAAGTGAATGTAATATACTCCACTAAAATTTGAACTTGGCTCTCAGATTCTTCAAATGAAGCTGCTATTCATTACTCCTCTGTGCCTCCATCATGTTTAATGGGGGGGGGAGTAAGTAGTGTAGAGTGCTACCTCAGAAGAAGCTATACAATGGTGCAGTAGGAGCAAGTATGGATTAGAGAATGTTTCTGAAAACATTCAAGGACAAAGAATGTTCAAGACTTCAGAATTTAAAAACTGATGAAATTGAGGAACTTTTGGAGAAAGATGCAATACAAACATGTGAACTTGCAGAAAACTTTAAAAAAAAAAAAAAAAATAAAAATTATAAGTGAATCAGTCAGTTACATAGATAAAAATTTTACTAGCAACAAAAATAGGTCCAGTGTGGATAAGAAAGAAAACATTTTGTTTTATTTTTCAGAAAAAAAGATATTTTTGAACAAAGTAACCACTAGTGATGTGAAATGGATTCATTACAATTATCCAAACTGAACATTGTGCTTAGATACAAGACAGTCTTCAAAATCTCAACTTCTAAAAGGAATGTAGTTGTGAGTGGGGAACATTCTTTAGTGAGATTCAAAGAGGATTCTTATTTTAAAATTGTTGGAAGCTGGAGACCAAGTATGCAATGCAGCATTTTGCCTAGGAGCTATATGTGAAAGGATATTGGCTAAATGGAATTATTTGCCATATCAAATCTATATCCATGATATAACACAAAATTCTCTTTTCCATTGAAAAGTATGTTTTTGTTTTTTTTTTCTTTTAAATCATTTCTCAGAAGCTTGATGATGCTGCTATTCCTGAAAGAAAAAGAAATCAAATAAAAAGAAGTCAAGTTTCAAGGACTGACCTGATTGGTCATTTGCCATACACAGTCAATGAATTGTAGGAAAACAGGTGAGCGGTCAGCATCAGAATGTTTGTCTTCCCCATGTCCAATTCTCTGAAAGGAAAAGAATTGTAATCAGATTGGAACATTCAAAGTTTAATAGAATTAACAACAAAAAGTGCCACATAAAAATTAAGAGAAACTGTAATTTATGATGATGTGCTTAGACACCATATCATAACAACGGCAGGGATGTTCCCTTGAGGACATCTTACTAACTTTAAACTTTATTAAAAAGTTACATAACATATAAACATTGAATTATTGTTCCAATGTTCAAAAACCTATTTAAAAAAAAAAAATTATTCTGCTAGGAGTACATGAATTAAAAATTATTTTGTATTTCAGTAAGACCTCTTTCCTTAATAAGGTTTTTTTTTTCCTCAGATTTTTTTCACACTCATTAACTCCTTGCATCTTAAAGGCTTTATTTATTTGTTTGCGGTGAAAGAATTAAAAAAAAAAAATGTCCAACTTGATTGAATAAATCCAGTCTCAATTTTCTTTTCTTTAAAGTTCAATTGAGAAAACTAAATTATGTGGAAATTTATCTGAAATTGAGATTAAATTAATTTTAAAAAATAATGATATAAGTCTTTTTGCTTGATAATTAATACAGCTGCTTAGCTTTCTATTTAATGAAGATTCTGAGTGTCAGATTTGCCTTAAGTTTTCTAATGCATTTTGTTTCAATTTTCTGAAGTTCTGAGAGAGAGTATTTTCATTATACCAGATATTTACAGGAGAAAAATATGGCCAAAGTCTGTGTGTGTATGTAACATGTATACAGTTTTGGTACAAAATATAATTTAGCCACAGTGAAGAGGATTTAAAAGTGAAAAAGAGGCAAAATAACTAAATCACTTATGGCATGGAGAGACATAGAAAGAGAAAAGGGAACATATCACCCCTGGAAAGAGTTCAAAATAAAGACAGACACATAAGAGAAAAGAAGATACTCAGGAATTTATCAAAACAAATGTATAATCCAACCAAGTATAAATATTAAGAACACATGGAAATGAAATAAAAATAATTTAACAGTTAAGACTGGCAAGGGAGTCATTTAAAAAACCATAAAATAACACTGAATATTTTAATACACTCAGTCATCAACAAAAAGTCAAATCACTGATAAGAATAAATGGTGTTTTTAAAATTTGGTCGTTTTTCACATTAATATAAGATGTTAACAATCAGTCCTCTGACTTTGTTATATTGTGGTGTTCTTGTTGCAGAGGTTAAGAGATAAAAAATGTACTAAGCCACATGTAAAGAACTGCACTAGATTGCAACATAGATCTGTCAAATGTAGCAGTTGAAATAGATTAAATAAAGTCCATAGTCAGAAAAATCTTATGTAGCAGACAAACATTTTAATATACTCTTTGATAACACAAAGACCCCCTTTTAAATGTTCCTTCCAACATTAAGCAAAATAAGTCACCTGAATAAAACAGACATACATTTTTAACCTGCATTAAAAGTCCCAACATTAAAAAAATTCTCTACCTGTGCAAATTTGTGTCCAAAACTCAGCCATTCCTTCTCTATCAGAACTTCAAATCCTTTGAGAGTTCGATAGTAAGGGTCAAGCATAATCATAGCCAGAGACGTAAGCTGGAAAAAAGAAAAAAATAGTAAAATAACATTAGAAATCAATAAAATGGAATGAATAAAGGAATTTGTATACAGAGTGGAGAGGCAAAACTTGCGTAATTTTGGTACTGAATTAAAAAGCCTTCTAGTTAATTGGTTTATTTAAAGAAATATGAATGGTTCCAACATACAAATACAAAATGAAAGAAGGATTTTATTCAATATGTCTTCCTTGTTTCTCAATTGCTGCCTCTACACACCCCCTGAAACTTTTACAACTCTTCTCCAAAACACCAGAGGACATCTTGTCCCACCCTTCTCTGGTGGTATCCATAAGAGAGTTAACATTTGGATGAGGTTCTATTAGTAACATCTTACAAAACACTCCAAACAGCATAATCTAGAGGGTTGAGATATTGGATGGAAGAGGGCCAGAAGTGTAATTGGCAAAATTGGATCTGGCAGTAGGAACAGGAGCACCACCATGAGTCCATACATAGTTTCCCTCTGGGTAGTTGACTTGAGCCATGTTAATACATTGTATCTCAGAGTCTTGTAATAGGCATCAGCATTAATTTTTTCACCAGGTTTGTAAAATTTGATAGGCATCAGAGTCCACAACCCCAAAGACCATAACTTGAGCTAAAAGTGCCCTTTAACATGAGCTTTTGAGTGTGCAATGCATCCGTTATTCCTGCAATTCAGAACAGTATCAACAGTAAAGATCTTTTCGTCTGAGAAAATTTTCAGTGGACTTGTTTAAGTTCTTTGCATCTTTCCAATCTTCTGTCCTTCATGGGTCATGTCAGCAAATGTCTTGGTGTTCTTGTGTAAGATTTTAGTTTTAAGTCATCTTTCACTGCTGTTCTTATAGTCTTAGCATCCATCTTAAGTTCAGTTGCTAATTTTCTCATGGATTTCGTTGGGTCTTTTGAGATTTTTGATTTGGGTGTGTTGATGAAATCATTATTGCACTTTTTGTTGGTTCTGCCACTTCCAGGCTTTCTCTGAATAGTTCCCCTCATAGTCATTCTTTTCTTCACATTAAATACTGTCCGTAGGGATAATCCATCTATGCTCGAAATCTTCTGTGGATGAAAATGTGCATTTATCTCATCACACACCCTTTGACATTTGCTTTCCTCAACACTCATTCCTTACACAATTATCTGAAAAAAATGTGGGTAATTATTATCCAAGGTTATGATAATAAAATGCACCAGGTTTCATAAAATTAGTTGAACTGCTTCATGAGAAAAACAAGTAAAACTTTTAGTTCAAATTTTACCTCCCCACCTTGTAAAGATTTAAATATTTTGAATTAGAAATAAACATGGCATTTCCATTATGAAAAGTAGAGTTAAAGTCCACTTTCAAAATGTTCTTTTCTTACAGTTAAGAAATATACAATTTTTTTATTTTTTATTTAAAGGACAATTTAAATACTTTATATTTTTTCAGTCAACGAAATTATGCAACATTGTGCCTGGTCAACATTTAATTTAAATAATCCAGCTGAGACAACAAAAAGTAGTATATACATAACAGAAACCAATGAATCATTTTTTTTTTTTTTTTTTTCATTGTTTGCCTAGATACTATAAATGATATTGACAGAGGATTGATTCTCATATGAGTTAATAGTTTGATTTAGTGACCAAATTTATACTTATAATTTTTTAGATATTGTCTACAACAAATAAGCAAAAGGTAGATTCTGAAAAGCATTGGTCAGTAAATGAATTATACAAGTCACATTGCTGCTAAGTTTGATCTCATGCCAGTTTAGGTTGAACTTAATATCTACAACACTATCAATTAGTATCTTTAGTTGTTATATCTACAACACTATCAATTAGTAATAATGAATTGCTAAGAGGTACAAGATCATATTGAGCTTTAATAAAAGTGCTCATCTTTTATAAAACACAACCAAAAAAGGAAATATAGAAAAGAAGATTAGGTTGGAATTGGTAAATAATACATATATTTTGAAAGAAGTTTTATTAACATTGTTTGACAATGCTAATCCTTTCTTATATTTTTTTCAATTTGCATAAAAAGTCATCATGCATCCAGTTAAAATTCATGGAGAAACTGTTTAAAGTTTATAAAGCTTTTGTTTGGGGACAACTACTGAAAGATTTATCCAAAGATTATATTGAATGAATTGCTAGCTCTGTTACTAAGAAAGTTGGTTTGTGCCAGACAATTTTTTTGCCATAATCCATCTTGCACATTTATATATCTACTATTCATCCATGCATTGAATATTGTTTTCATATATATTCTGGTACTCCTGCTATATATCTAGAGATTTTTAACAAAATCCGAAGAAGGGTCTGTACTGTTATAGGTTCTTATCTGGCATCTTTACTTCAAACACATTCCCACTGCCGTTATGTGATTTTCCTCTGTCTTTTATATATTTTCATAGCAGTTGCTCTAATGAGTTCTCCCTTCCTTGGTATTGGGGTTTCATTTTTTATAAGGGTGGGGATGTAATTTGGTTTTAGTTTCATTTTGAAGCCAGTATTCAGTTTCCTTTTTATATTTTGTGGTAGGGTTTTGTTACTTTTAATAATTCTAGAATGGCTTTGGGTTCAACACGCTCAAAGAGGGTTAGTTACATTGTATTTTCATATAGGTGCTAGTTTTTTGCAGTTAATCAAAGTGTTTGACAGTGAGTACTTCTTGGAAATTTGGGCAATTTCTTTTTTTTTTTAGGAAGAAGGAGCAGGTTATGTGGGTATGTTTGATTTTGATTCTTGTGTGACATCTTTTGAGTATCTGGTACTGTGATGTTGTACACTCAGAATGGGTTTTATTTGATATAGTTTGTTTTTTTTGTGTGTGTGTGTGTGTGTGTGTGTGTGTGTGTATTCCATGATTTTTTTTCATTGGTTGAGGATTTAAGAGTTAATTGTGGCTTTCAAGTCTGTAAAAGGGATGTTTGAATTTGATATACTAAGAGGGATTCTTTGGCTACTTTATCAGCCCTGCTATTTCCAGATATCCCAATATGTGTGTAAAGAAGAAATTACTTCAGTACAGTTTATCACATTCTTCATAATTACTATTTTATATTTGTGAGGAAATTCATTTTGAATTTTAATAAAATTTGTTTCAATGAATTTTTGTCACCTCAGTATACATTAGAGGGGGGAGGCGGGGTGATGAAAAGTTGTAACACACTTTCAAAAATCTTACTAATTTTTTTATTTTATTTTTTAACTTTTTAGCTGGGCCAAGAGGTTTTCACTACCCATGTGTGTGAGAGGCAGTATAAGTTAGGTTTTGTTATTTGTTGTACATTTAATGAAGAAATTTAAAATAGAATTTTTGTGAAGAAATTTGAGAAAAGAAAGCATAAAATATTTACATATCAGAAGTTGGACTTTTTTTTTTCCTTAAAAGTTAAAATGCTTACCTGAGCTGTTCTGTCCCAACCATCACTGCAGTGGACCAAAACAGATGTCTTGTAATACTCTACTTTGTCAGCAATGCGAACGGCACCAGCCAGAATTTGCTAAACAAGACACATTGGTATTTGTCATTAGATAAAGAATTAACAATCGTAATTGCAATTAGTAACAATAATACATTTTAAAAAGGGGAAATGCTTTTCTATTAAATCACTTGGTGTTAAGCTTAAAATACTCAATTTAAACAAAGAATTCTAATCAGAAGAGTAATTCAATTTGTTCTGCCTATTAAAATAATCCTATTTTTTTCTTCATGTTAAAATATTTTGTAACATAAAATTTTATCCAAATTTTTTAAAATCCATTAAAAACTAAAGATAAGATAAAAATATCCTATAAAATACATTGCCTGCATCAGCCATATTTGTAAAATCAATTCATATTCCATCTCAAAGGAAATTAGAAAGATTAACAAAATAAACAAGGAGTTTCTTAGTTTGCAAGAGAGCAACTTTTAAAACCTTTTAAAATTTTGCAGTTTTACCTTGTTATGTAATTTGGTTTACAACTTCAAATTTATAATACATAAATTGGACTAAAAATATTTAAATAAAAAAATTATGAGAAGAATTACTTACTAATCTATATAGGGATAAAAAAATATTTAAGGAATATAAAAATAATGTTTTCAGCAAACTAACCTTGATGTGCTCAAGCCAGTGTGTAGCTTCAATATTGGACAGCCAATGGGTCTCATTGATATTAGGAAAACACACTTCCTTTAATTTTCTCAAACTAGAATTTAAAAAAAAAAAAAAAAAAAATCACATTACACTAATGACAACATGAAGGCAATAGACATATCTATAATAAGTTATTGTAATATTAGCATATTAAACAGATATATAAATACCATAAGAAACTTAAATGAATTACTAATTTGCATTTGATCTGAAACCATTGGACTACTGCATACAGGATGTAGCTGAAAGAGAGGCCAGTTCCCATAATACTATAAACTTCTCTCATGTCTGGCATAACCAGGACTATATCCAAAATTAATCAAGATCATCCAACCCAGTATTGAAGCAGTCATTCATGCTAATGGTAGATTCATTGAATAGGTGTGATAAAAGGATTCTCAAGATAATTTGTTTTCAAATAAAGTTTTTCTTTCATGAGTTATGCATCTTTTTCTAAATACATGCAAGTATTCTCAAAAAACTGGAAAAACCTAAATAATTTACTTCATTTTTGCCTTTGTAACCTGTTTTATGCCCACAAGTATATACATTTATTACTATAGTTCTAATCACAAATGCATTTTCCAATTTATTTTATAATATAATATACATAATAATCTATTGGCTAAATATAAACAACAAAATAATGAAACCCTGTATTTTAGCATTGAAAAATAAGAGACATTTTAGAATCACCGAATTAATTTTTACTAAAGTTTATAAACGTATTAAAGTAAAAATGGGGAGACTTCTATTTGAACTGGGTTCTTTTAAGAAAGTATTTGCTTTCTGTAATGCAGTACTTGTTTCAGTAAAATTTGTAGATATCTATTCTTGTAAAAGGCCAAGGCTTTGGCACTGGGACACAAAACATCTGCCCATTGTCTACGTTCTTATTTTTGCACAAAACTCATAAAAATTAGGTCAATATTTTCATAAAATGTTAGCGAAATGAAAAGATGTTCTTTGTATTTTGTATATATTGAACAAATCTGTATTTAACATTGATCAATTTCAGGGCCAAGTGGTCAATTATAAATGAATAGTTCTGAAAAATTTCAGAATATTTTTCTAAAAACACTTAATTACTAAAAAAATTAAAAAAAATAATTACTAAAATGAAAATAGAGAGGTTTTCCTTTTCTTAAATACAAACAATTTGCTTAAGTTTATATTATTTTTTTTTGATGTTGTCCCATACACTAAGAAACCTACTAATGCATTGAAATACCATTGATTAGTAACTATCAGCCAATCTATGTTCCCAAATCCACTTACCTTTCTCTCATTACATGAATGTTGTGAATGTCCAAGAATATGAGTTCAGCATTTGTATAAGCATCTTCGTTTTCATAACCACCTCCTTTGGCCTGGAAAAGAAACACTCAAATAAGAAATGAAGCCAATAATGAAAATTCATATTCAGATATTTCAGCAATATGTTAAGTGAATGCAAAAGCTACCAGAAAAGAAAAATTAAGAAAGAAAAAGTTTCTACTGTGCATTCATACAAGTTCCATAGACTCCCTGAAGAATATAGTGGTCACAGCTTTCAGTGTGCTAGGCATGGCTACTATGGTTTCCATAACAAGTAGGTTTTTATGAGAGAGTTGCTAGCCCCAACCAGTTTTGCATTCAGAGGTGTTCTTTTAGACTGATTACCAACCATGGCTAAAGAACTTTACTATTTAAACCATAGCTGGGGGAAAGAGATAGATTCATACATTTCCCAAGGATATTTGCATGTAAATGAATGCAATGAATTTGAACACAATTCACAGATTTCTTATTCTGAGCTGCTATTATAAAACTCACACATCCTACTGGGCATTCAGTCTAGTTTTAAAAAAATGAAAACCTATCAGAATCTTATTTAAATTCACTCCATGTCTAAGATAACTGATGATTCTGAAGCCAGGGATGAAATTTCTGTAATGTAATAAACAAGAATGATAAAGTATGAAAACAGATTGAACAAGAAAGAATCAATGACTTAACAAATGCTGATGAAAAATAAGTAGCAATTATCAGATGATTAATCAAAGCAATCCTATTGGCTATATTATTCATTCTGCCATAATAAAATAGAATGTTTTCCAAGTTTTGTTTTTTTTTTTCTTTTTACTATTCCAGACATTTCTAAGAAAGAAAAACTTTGGTTAGGAACTCAATTAAATATGCCACATTACCCGATTATCTCTCTATATCTATATAATGTGTGCATGTGTTTGATATTTGTTTTACTTGATAATCTAAGCAATTTGAATGCTTATTATCAAATGGATATCAAAAAGAACAGGCCTTCTTGTAAAGTGTTCTCTATTTAAAATAAAGCACCAATTAAATTACATCTGATGAATACCAAATATAAGAAAGTAATAAAGTAGATAGTGGTTCATGAAAACTATTCAGTCATGACACTGGAAACTATAAATCATTGAATGATGTAATGAAGCAATACATTTGTTAGTATCTTCAGTCCATCTTAAAACTAATACAACTGTTACCAAATTATTTCTATTTTATTTTTGATAAGTATAAAAGTAAAAGTATAATTTTATTAAAGATCTTACTTCATTTCATTTAGAAAAATTATTTTAAAAGTATATTTTTTTTTCAGATAATATAAAGCTTAATATAGAAGAGAATTTGTGAAATTTTGGTGTGCAAATTAAGTGCTTTTGTAAAGTTGGCATAAATGTGCTTCTCACTTTGTTGGCAACAGCATTAACACTGGGGCGTGCATCCATGATAAAAAGCTTTGTTGTTTGGGCATTAGCATCCATAATCATTTGAATGTATCCTTCATCTTCCCTGTTGCGTCTGCCAGCTACCCCCACCATGGGTTGGCTAGAGCGGGTGATTGTAGCCTGCGACTCGGGATGGATCCATGACATCACCTTCACAATTAAAATTATTTTATTAACATTTTCTTTCCTCAAGTGATTTCAAGGAAAAGTGAACATACATAATTTTTCCACAATAAATTATCCCTTGTTCTAATATGTGGAGATAAGAATTACCGATTAACAGTTGGAGTTGGTCCAATGTACACTATGATTTGCATAAAAAAAATCTGTATAATAAAATTTGTATTAATAATTTGTATAAATTTGTGATTGTAAAACCTTCAGGATATGATAATATGTACCATGTGAATTTCAACTTAAAATATTTGTTTTATTTATTTATTTTTTTAGAAACATTTGTAGTAACTTATTTGTTGGTATGAGATTTTATTATGCAACTCAAAGGTTGTTCACCATATTGTAAATAAATGGATACAATAGTACAGTTATTGATATTTAGTTTTTACTTTCAGATCTACAAAAATTGACATGTATCATAATATCAAAAGAGAAACAAGATACTGTAAAGTTATTAAGAACATAACATTGAAAATAGTTAACAAGATGAACAGAGATCATAGAACAGAAATAAAAAATGATGGCTTTAAAAATATGAGGGGTGAGAAAAATTAAAAGAGCGAAATGTAGATTGACCAGTAAAAAAAAAAAAAAAAAAATTGAAGAATCTAGTGTTACAAATAAAAACAGCAAAGACAATAAATATTAAGAACGTTGTTTCCTTTTTCTTCAGCCAAACTAGCATTAATTAAAAATATCAAAAAGAAAAATGTGTTAAGTTTGAAAAAAAAAAAAAAATAAAAAAAATAAAAAAATTTGTCCACAAATTTTCCAATAAATAAAAATATGCAAGATAGAATAAAAATAGAAATGCATGTTACTTACAGGCAGTCGTCCTCTGCTCCGGAAGCCAGCAACATGCCGCAAATATTCATCTGAGGCATTTTTGGGAACCACTAACTATAAATCAGCAAAAAGGTTTTCTTTAATAGGCTTTTAATTTAAATTTGGACATGTGCATACATACTAGACTCTCCCGTAATATTTTTGACATATTAGAGTCAAGCAGTTCAGTTCTTAGAACTGAACAGCCAAACTACTCACACATATGATTTGATTATAATGGTGAAGGCTTAGAGCAGAACCAACAACACTTTTTGGAAGAGCAAAATATGTAGAATTGGTGCACATAGTGTGCCACAAGATCCTCAAACAACTCTCCACAGGTTTTGAATTCAGAGTTGACTGTCTCCTATAGGACCCAGTCCCTGATAATTACTCATATTTCAGGGTGGAGAAGTGATGGATTTATACCTTTTTTCAAGGGTATTTGCACATAAGTGAATCTAAAGAACTCTACTGATTCCTCAAATCTAAGCTGATATCCATAACTCTAAAGTGTGTATATATATATATATATATATATATATATATATATATATATATATAAAAGTGAACATAGAAGTCAACACTAAGTGTTGACTTCTATGTTCACTTTATATTTACACACACTATCTATGATATTGAGCACTTTATCCTATAAATATAGCACATCTTAAGACTATATTTTTATATATATATATATATATATATATATATACACACACACACACACAGAGAAATACATACATTTACAATAACAAATATTTAAAAAAACAAAAAACTTCAAAGTCCTTTAACAATACTTAATTTTGTTTCCTATTAAAATAAATAAGCTCACATAATTGAATATTACTATCATTAGTAAATGATAATAAACAAGACCAAAAGAACAATTAGAAAAAATTGGTACCTACAAGGCTGGGATATGTGTCACACAGCTCATAATTTTCATTGACTCTGCTAATGCGCCAGGTGTTTGGTATGCCCTGTACAAAGATTCATACAGTTTATTCAAACAGAAAAACAAGAATACAAATTGCATATAAATTTTGCTCACTAAAATCTCAGACATATCAGTCATAAAATTTTAAGAAGATTAACATACTTGAAAATGATTAATTTTTCTCTGTATATAACCACAAATAGTAATGATGAGTGCTAAAATATACACACAACAATTATATGATGCATTTTCTTGTATTGTTATTAATAATTTGTGCAAGTTTTGTGAGGGGAGAAAATTCACTTTACTTTTTCTTTAGTCAAAAATATTTATTACACCGTAATGCTCTTAAAAAATTTTTCATCTAAGTGATTGAATATTAGTTTGCATAGACATCATTTAATACAATCATCACAAAAAAAAAATAAAATAACAGTAACAAAATCTGCATGTGGAAACAACAACAACAAAAAAATATTCTCATTTGATAAAAAATTCCCAAATAAGGAGTTTTCATTGTTAATATTTTAAATATACAAGTGAAATGTTTTAAAAATAGATGTTACTTAATGTTATTAAATGGATATTTAAATATTAAACTTAAATATTTTGTAAAAGAAACAAAAACTTTATAAAAATAATTCCTTTTAGTTATTATCAGTTAGAGAATAGTAGTTTACTTGTCGTTTGTAATCAGCTACAGGATCATAAACACGCCATCCATTTTCTTCATATTCTTCTTTCAAACTATAAGCAAACAAAGGCTGAAAATACAGAGAAATTAAAATAACAGATTTTTTTGTATTTTAATTAAATTTATTTAAATAGTGAAAATCGAAAAATACACTTTGCATTATATGAACATGTCAGTATATAATATGCCTCAGTAATTTTCTCAGAGCTCTCTTTACATAAGAGGCCTTGGTTATGTTGCCGGAATTTCCAATTTTAATTATTCAGCAAATATTGTCAGCATTTATACACATTTCATTTGATAAAATTAAAACAAACTTGTATCACTATTCTGTATCCTGAAACATTCACAATATAACTAGAAGAAACAAATGAATTTACATGTAAACGAAAATTTACAAGGATAAAAGTCTGAATAATGAAACAGTAATAGAAATTAAGAGATAAAAATGTTTTTAAATAGCTTTTATAAATTTTCTTCATTTCTAGCAAATGTAGCAACAAAAATACATTTATAAATAAAACAATCAAAATTAATATCAATTTTTTAATAAAAGCATTTACCTGCTTGTTGGTAATTGGGAAAGAATACAGTTGGATCTTTTCAAAAACTTGTCTGCGAGAGTGGTTTTCTTGTTTATGGGCAAATCTTAAGTTCCGCATGTCCTGTAAAATGCAAAAACGTTTAGATTAAAATATTCTGAACAAGTGGATAGGTGTAGATAATTTTTTTTTCTACATTTATACTAATTTGGCTTACTGTTGATAAATGTACATGAATAAGTTGATATTTTTCAACTTATCTGAACCAACAACAGAGAAAGATACATTTGCTTACACAGCTCCAAGAAAACTACTAAGGCATAGATTTTCAGATTTATTCTCATTAAAACAGAAAATGGAAGTCATACTTGAAAAAAAAAAAAAAAAAACTATTCATAAAAATAATAATAATAAAAAGTTACCGATAGGATGATATGGATTTTAGTATTTAAAAGTTAAAGTGATATTATGAGGAGGTGCTGCAAAGTTCTTGGTCCAATCTAGAAAGGAATGACCTCAAGCCATGAAATGTACACAGTATTGCATATATTCATCCCAGATTCAACACACTTGATGGCACATTGTTTCTTAAAAAAAAAAAAAAATAAAATAAAAAATAATATAAAAGATGTTTGGTCCATGCTGCTGTTATCACCATTGCATCATTAAAACATTTCCTCCTTTTAAGGTTAAAAATAAGAAATATTCAAAGGGGTTAATGTGTGGTGAATAGTGTGGATCATCCATGTACTCAAACCCCAAATTCTTCAAAACATCCATTGCCTTTTTGGCCCTGTGAATATAATATCAAAAAACAGAATATTTTTTACATAGTATCTCTCAATATTTTTCTTTAAACACCTTTAAATCATCACAACAAATTAAAATAGTATTCTGTAGTAATTATTTGGCTCTTTTCTTTGGCAGTTGAGAACCAGATTGCTGCCAATGCATGAACTATTGTTTGCGCTCAAGATTCTAGTTGTGTATACAAGTCATTTCCAAAACATCATTGCTGAAAATGCTACAAAATCAACATAGATGCGTCCACTTGATATCACTTTTTGGCACCTACTTGGCTAAGAACTTTTGTATAGCCAACTGCTTATTAATTATAAACCCAATGCATTCTCTTGATATTTCTATTATCACAGGAATTATTTTCTTTAACCTTCATCAATTAACAAAAATAAGGTCATGAATATGATCAACCATTGCAGGTGTTGAAACCACTGAAAGTGTCCTAAATTGAGCTACTTTTTGGTTCTCAAAATCTCCATGCTGGAAGTTAGCACACCACTTCTTCACAGTTGAGTATCATGGGCTCTTGTCACCCAGTGTTTGCATCATACACTCATGGTTTTCATTTGGAGTTTTTTTTTCTGCAGAAATAAGAATTTTATGATGGCCCAGAAGTCAACATTTGAAAATTCCAAACTTTTCATTGATATGGTTCAATGATTTGAAACAAATTCAAGAATAAAAACCAGGAACCTCCAAATTGGCACTTTACAAAAGAACACTCTCCAGTGACAATGACAAAATAATGCTCAGACATTGGCAAATGGGTTGAGTCAAGAACTTTTCAGTACACTTGCTTTTTTTTAAAAATGTGTTGTAATGATTTACACTATTTACATTGCTTGGACTGTTGTCCTCATCTTTATTGTCACATTCATGGTACATGGAATTAGAACAATCTACCCCTGTGGACTAATTAAGGAGTTTTGTTCAAAAGTCCAACAAATATCACCTGAAGAAGGCCAGGTCATACAACAGCTGAAACACTGTGAATGTATCATAAAGATGAGGACAACAGTACAAATAATATAGTGTAAATAGTTACAATACCTCATCTCAGAAATATAGACAGATTTGTTGTAATGATCTAAATATGTCAGGATAAAGAAGGTTGAAAAATTAAAACTAATATATGAATAGAGAAAAAGAAATTTAAAATCCTTATGTCATTCTACCTTCACTGTAGTCATTAATTCATCACTGTTTAATCAACTACCTCTTTCATCTCTTGTTTGCTTTAAACTATTCTTGACTATTAGGTCAGTAAATTATGTTCTCATAATCATATAAAATTATGTAAAATCACTGTATAAAAATCACCATTGGATTTCAACCAGATTTTAAAATGAAATATTGATTATTGTCACATGATAGTAGTAAGAGAAAAGAAATCATACTTACTTTACACAAAATGTCTATTCTATAAGAATTTTCACCTCTGCTTGTAGCACCTCCAATCTTCTCAACACGAGCAATGACTCCAAGTGGCACATCCAGAATAAACAACGAATCCTAGAGACAAAAATATATAAGACATAAAAGAGGAACAAAAAAAGAGAAAAGATTTTGCCGAGATGAAAACTATACAAATATGGCACGTGTACTTTTCTCAATAGAAACGCTGAAAGTATTGAGCAATGAGAATATTTCTTTTAAGATTCAACATATTACAAATATAGTTAGATTAACTGATATTAATACTATGTATACAACTTATACTAGCAAAATCAATACCACTATGGTCTGAACAAAACAATTTAAGGTATTGTGAATGAAAGTTTTGTCTAAATTTTAGTTATGACACAAAACAGGAAGAAAAACATAATGAAAAGAAAACTGAATCTGAAAATAAAAATTTGAAGTCTGTTATAGTATTTAAAAGTGGATTAAACTTATCAGTAAGAAAAAAAAAAGATTTCTGCATTAAACTATTTTTTTTTATTTATGATATTAAGAATAAATGATGTTTATACAAAATAGTAAAAACCATTTTATAAATAAGTAAATAATAGCAAAGGATTCAAAATGAATTAATGTCAAAGTATAAAATACTTTCACATTGTTTACTTTTCAGCTCAATCATCTGAACTAAGCATTTTATTATAAGTGACCACATCACAGTATGGAAAGTAGAATTGGCAAGCAAAGTTCAAATACCACCTGCAACTAGTTATACTTTGAACCAATGCTTTTAGGGAGAGGCATAACCACCCCCCTCCAATTAAGAGTTAAATAGTAAGGCAGACTGGGTTCTCTAGCCTTGGTTGATAACTATCCTAAGAGGACAACTGTGAATTCAAACTTGTGGAGAAGGCAACTATCAATGCAGTTAACTAAACAAACCAGCAAACAAATAACTGTAAAGAACTATCATCACCTACATCCTGAAGGGACATGGTATTAAGAAAAAACTACTAAAGTACTTTACAAAAACTATGGCAAATCTATGTGCAGTAAAAAAAAATAGTAAATGCTAGTAAAACAGAAATCAAATATAAATTGTGAATATGCAAAGTGCGATGAGATGGGTGGCAACCCAATTGTGCAGGGTGAGTAGAGCTAGACACTAGTTGACAGAGTTAAATGCCTGGTTTTATGGTATAGAAAAGGAGAAGGCTTGATTGCATTTAATGATTATTGTAATTAAAATGTGGGAAGAGAAAGTTTGTTTGGAAAAATTACATAGGTTGAGGGATTTTTAAGAAAGCAAACTCAAATATTAGAGAATTTAATAGCAGCCCTATTACCATCTCTTCCAACTAGATTTGCCAAGTCAAGGAAAAATGACAAGTACTAAGTTACTTCCTTAGCTGAAATAAAATTATCTCTAAAAACTTTTCAGACAAAGTTGTTTACATAAAGATCTATTCATCAGATAGTTTCTCAAGCAGAATAATTTTGGAGAAAAGGGGCTTTCCGATAAAAAAAAAACTTGGCCAAGGCCAATAGACTATGTGGTTTGTTATTTGCTGGTGATTTTATAAAAAATATAAATAGTTTTTGTGAAAGTAATTTATCAAAATATAACTAAGGGTCATGTGAGTGTGAAATTAGTGGTCAAACCATACCAATACAACAAAACTGGTGATAAACAATGTAAATTGACTAAAGGAGGGGGGGTAATCTGCAGGAAGTAACTGGAAGAAAGAGATGGGAGGAAGAGTCCTATCTAGGACGCCATTGAAGAGTGAGAGAATGGGCTAACATACATGGGCAGATATAAGACGTGAATGGCTAGAGAAGGCCAGATTGTAGTTGTAAACCAAATATGTTCTCACATAAAGGTGAACTAACCACCATAAACTACTATTGTTTTATCATCAAAGTTGCAAACAAAAGATTCCAGGTTCAAAACCTTTGAATACTGCTGTCAAGCATTAGAAATAGGGAAAAGAGAGATGCAAATTTGAAACACCCATGTACTCAACAACTAGAATAAACTACATCTTATTAGTATCTTGTTAAAGCTATTCTAGTTTTCTTCATTATCCTGATACCTTGATCAATCTGTTTTGTGATATGACTGGGTTGGGTTTATGAGGTTTCAATCTTGGGTTCAAGACTCTCTCACATTTTTTCAATTCAATGTAAAAAATCTTGCCAAATCAATGACTGGAATAGGAGTTTGCCTGCCACCTATAGTGTTACATTGGGTATCATCAGCATCAATCCTGAGATGTGCAGTATATACTGTTACATTTGGTGACTACGTCCTAGATAACAATGTTGCCATATCTGGAGCCAGTGACCAGGATGGTACTGATCTCCAGATCTTAATTGCATCCCAAAAGCTTGGCTGTTGAGTTACAGAGTTAACTTTAGTTGCCATGACTGGGACTGACACAGCACTAATGTTATAAAGGTAGAAGGAAATCATTAAGAGAACATTTATAGACTTACAACATTCAAGTCTCATGAGTTTTATTTTTACGACTAGTACAGCAACCCTTTTCATAGATAACACATTCCTATTGCATTTAACAGGGATGGTTAGAGAATTTCCTAGTATCTTTAGTTAACATGCCTTGGTATATTAACATTCAATTAGAATATGAAAATACTTATAGATTTAAGTTAAGACTGCAGCTTACCCGTTCCGCATTCTTGAAATACAGCCTGTAATTGGTGACTGACAAAGAGCCTTTGACTTGGCCATTATATGGACATAAATAAGTGACATCCTGAGCTAAAAAAATAAGAGTAAAATAGTTGAGCATGAATAATGTATTTCTTTAAATACATGCAAAATTCATTGAAATATGAAAGAAAAGAAACATTTTTACTTTACCCATTCCATGAATCTTTTCTCCTTCAAAAAGTGGTGGTTCATCAGAGATTCCATGCTTGTGTGGATCTTTGTGAGGCTGACAAATAAAAAAGACATTTCAAATTCAATGACCCAATGCCAATGGACAGCAAAACCAAAACCTTAAATAAGATTTCAGGTTAAAAAAATAAATATAAAAATAAAAAAAGATGCAAAACTTTCTCTAAAAGAAACATGTTATCACTATAAAACTTGTTTTTATAATTAATGCCAAAACAAGAACAAGCTAAAAGAATATTACTACTTTTTAAAAGATTTTAGATCAGTTATTGTTGTGTCGGAAACCTACCACCCCTCTTGAAGATGAACTTGTCTGCGAACAAAGACTTTAAATAGTGGCATGTCAGGAAGACAGACAGACAGAGAAGTTCTTAGCTGAGCTAGTTATTGACTACTCAGGCGATTTCTGTACCTTTTTACCAACCTATTAAAACCCTTTTTATTGTTACGTGTTATTTGGCGTTTGTCTCTACTAACCCCAAATCAACATCATAACAGTGGCGATGAGAGATTCTTTCATCATGCTGAATCAACTCTAGGTGGACTATATAAATTTTTTTTTCTTGTTCTGAAAAAAAAAAAAAAAAAAAAAAAAAAAAAAAAAAAAAAAAAAAAAAAAAAAAAAAAAAAAAACAAACAAACAAAATACATTGAACTTTGTTCTTCACGAAGAAATGGGATTTCAATGTGCCAAAAAGAAGTAAGACTTGTGCTTATTTTGGATATATACGTGTTTTTCCCTTTTTGTCTGTTTTCGAAAAGTGTTTTGTGTAATCTATTACGCATAATGGCAGATTTGATTGCATTAACGAAAACTCTAGTGCAAAGTCAAACTTACCAACAAGAGAAACAAAAATTGTTTCAGGAAAAACTATTGGATTTACAAATTCAGCAGCTTAAATGACACAAAAGGCTTTATATGAAGCGATTTTACTTAAGAATCCAGTAAATTAGTCATTCACGGCCAAGGTATTGCTAATTCTATTACTGAGTTCAAATTTAACCCAGAGGAGGGCATAACATTTCCTGCGTATTTCAGAAGATTTGAAACAATATTTGAAAAAAATGTGAAGGGTGGACTGATGAACAAAAAGTGAGTTTACTTTTACAAAAGTTGGGTACAGATGAAAATAATAAGTATACGAATTTTGTCCTTCCAAGAAAAATTGGTGACATTTCTTTCAAGAAACTGTTAATACTTTATCTAGTATTTTTGGCGAAGCGAAGTTAGTTAGTTTGTTTCATACTCGTTTCTCGTGTTTGAATATGGTAAAGCGTGATTTATGAGGATGTTGTTACGTATGCTGGAAATGTTAACAGTTTTATGTTACATGATCTTTCAATTGGTCGATTTAAATGTTTGATATTCGTTCAAGGCTTGATTTCTAGCAAAGATAAGCACATAAGGTCCCGAATATTGGCAAAACTCGAACAAAATTCCGAGATCACTTTGCAGAAGGTTACAGAAGAGTGTCAAAGAATTGAAAACTTAAAACATGACAATACGCAAATTGAAGAAAAAGACGTATCCCATGCCCATGCTATTTGACCAAAAACGGGAATAGTTAATAAAAACGTTAAAAAAAACCAACGTGCTTTGGATGCGGTGGTGGTCATTTTAAAAGTGAATGTTTTTTTCGCGACAAAAAGTGCTATTCGTGTGGCAATAAAGGCCATATAAGTACTCATTGTAAAAGCAAAAGAAAAAATTTAAGTCGAAAAAAGATAATGTGAATATTGTGTTGTCACGTCAGGAGATTGAGGAGGGGCAGAAAAGAAAATTCGTACAGGTAAAAATTAATGGAAAAAATGTTAAACTACAGCTAGATACTGGAAGTGATATTTCCATTATTAATACAGCAACATGGATTAAAATAGGCAGACCTTTGCTTAAAAAGACTGAAAAAGTGGCTCGCAGGATTTCTGGAAGAAAATTGCATTTTCAAGGTGAATTTTCTTGTAATATTTCATTTGTTGGTAAGACACTAAAGTCTAAAGTGTATGTGCTACAAAATGCTTCAAATTTGTTTGGAAGAGATTGGATTATACTTTTTAATTTATGGGAACTCACTATAAATACTTTTTGCAATAGAATTAATGTTTCTTCTCCATGTAAAAATCGGGTTACAGAAAATTTGGTGAAAGATCTGAAAATAAAATTTCCACAAGTATTTTCAGAAGGTCTTGGATGTTGCAAAAAGACGAAGGCAAAATTTGAAGTGAAGAAAAATGTAAAACCTATTTTCAAGCGAAAAAGAAATGTGCCATTTGGTGTTGTGGGACAGATTAACAAAGAATTGGAACGGCTTGAAAATTTAGGAGTTATTTTCAGAGTGGGCCTGCCCTGTTGTATATGTTAAGAAAAAGAATAATAAAATTTGGATGTGTGCCAATTTCTCTACGGGTCTAAATGATTGCTTAAAAGACGACACATATCCTTTGCCTTCACCAGAAGACATTTTTGCAAGTTTAAATGGAGGAAAAATATTCTCTAAATTGGATTTATCGGATGCCTATCTCCAAGTGAAAGTGGACGAAGAATGTTCTAAATTGTTGACTATCAATACACACAAGGGTTTATACAAATTAAACCGTCTGCCTTTTGGTTTAAAAGTATCCCCTAGTATTTTTCAGCAAATTATGGACACTGTGCTGGCAGGGTTGGACTTTGCCATTGCATATCTTGATGATATTTTGATAAAAAGTAAAGATCGAAATGAACATATTAATCAGGTTTTTGAAAAAATTGAAGAATATGGATTCAAACATGCAGCTGAAAAATGTGAATTTTTTATGAGTGAAATTAAGTTTTTGGGGCAGATAATAGACTCTGATGGAAGAAGACCAGAACCAGCGAGGGCAGAAGCGATCAAAAGCATGCCAACTCCCAAAGTGTTCTTAGGACTTGCTAACTATTATGGGATATATATTCCTAATTTGTGCAACCTTATGGCTCGATTAAATAAATTGCTTAAAAAGGGAGCAAAGTGGGAATGGTCAGAAGTGTGTCAGAAGGCGTTTGACAAAATAAAGAATATTTTGACGTCGGAATTATCACTAACACATTATGACCCTAAACAGGAAATTATAGTGGCATCGGATGCAAGCGAGCACGGAATATGTGCGGTAATTCTGCATAAATTCAGAGACGGCAATACTGAAGCCAGTGGCACATGCATCAAGGACATTATTACCCAGAAAAGAAGTACTCTCAAATTGAGAAAAGAAAAAAAAAGCTTAGCTATCATCTATGCTTGTAAAAAATTCCATAAAATGCGTACATGGAAGAAGGTTTATATTGCAGACCGACCATCGCCCGCTGCTTTCAATCTATGGTTCAAGAAGGGTATACCTACTCATATGGCAAACCGTTTGCAACGATGGGGAACCATTTTGTTGAATTACAATTTCAAAATGGAATTTTTATCATCTAAAAAAATTAAGCCATGCTGATGGTTTATCTAGACTGATCCCAATGTCTTCGGAACCGCTAGAAGATACGGTGATAGCATCGTTACAAGCAGAAAATGAATTGGTGGAAGTAATGTATAATACAGTAAAAGAATTACCGGTGACATTAGATGAAATAAAATTAAAAGCAGAGAACAAAATTTTTATTAGAAAAATGAAAGAAGTTGTAACTTCAGAAAAGTATAAAACTTCTTCACCAGCATATTCAATATGTGATGAAGTGCTGTTATATGCTGGAAGGGTTGTGATACCGGTTGTACTACAAAAGCGGATTTTGAAGGAATTTCATCAGGGGCATCCTGGTATTGGACGTATGAAAGCCCTGATGAGGAGTTACATTTATTGGCCAAATATGGACAAAGACATTGAACAGATAGTTAAAACTTGTAGAGGGTGTCAAATAGCAGCGAAAGCACCGCCAGTAAAATACACACCATGGCCAAAAACAGATGTTCCATGGACCACACTCCACATAGATTATGCTGGACCCATGAATGGTAATTTCTACTTGATAGTTGTGGATAGCTATTCCAAGTGGCCTGAAATTTTTAAGTGCAAAAGACCAACTGCTTCCGTAACAAAAGATTTTCTTACAGAACTGTTTGCATGTTTTGGAGTACCAGAAAAAATTGTCACCAACAATGGAACTCAATTCAAGGGAAGTGAATTTAAGATGTTTTGTAAGACTATGGGAATTGACCACATCACGACTTCACCGTACCATCCTAGGTCAAATGGACAGGCTGAACGGTTTGTTGATATGCTCAAGAGAGCCCTTAAAAAAACAAATGGTACTAATACAGATGATGGTAATATACAGCAGTTTTTAAGTATATACAGAACAACACCAAATCCAAACGCAATATCAGAGATGTCTCCAGCTGAACTGATGTTTGCTAGAAAAATTAGATCTGTATTAAATAGACTGCTGCCGGAAAGAAAAAAGAGTTACCAGAACAAAACGCATCAGGAAAATATGAAATATCTCAGGCCGGGAGATAAAGTTTTTTTTAAAAATTACAAAAATGGGAAGGAATTTTGGCAAGATGGAGTGGTAACTCAAAGAATTGGTAAGATGTTATACATGATAAGAAGTAAAAAATGGACGCACGAAAGACATTTGAACCAATTAAGGAAAAGAATCATTGAAGAAATAAGTAAAGAAAACGAAGAACCAATGGAGGTATTATATGATTTATTCGATATATCAACTCCACCATTGCCTGAAACAGTTGTCCAAAGAAGGACAAGCAAAAGAAAAAGAACTAGGGTGGAACGTTTAAGTCCAGATCCCAAAAGAAAAAGATATTAATTCCTCCGGAATTAATATCAAGGGGGAGGTGTTGTGTCGGAAACCTACCACCCCTCTTGAAGATGAACTTGTCTGCGTCTGTGAACAAAGACTTTAAATAGTGGCACGTCAGTTGACATGGGAGGGAGACAGATAGACAGAGAAGTTCTTAGCTGAGCTAGTTATTGACTACTCAGGCGATT